TCAGAAAAGGAAGGGTATGGGCAACCAACAAAGAACAGGATGATGATCCTCTACCTTTCATCGTAAAACATGATCCTAAGAAGGATGGATTCAGCGGCCAAAGATTCGTGATGAAGGTCGATGATGGCTTTCTGGTTGCTTACAACGCTGGTGAATGGGGTGGAAGACTATATTGGTTCTCGAAGGATGGAAGTGAGAGCTATCAGATATCCAGCCACCGGGTCGTAAAGTTTATCAAACGCAAAGACAAGATCTACGCTATCGAAGGGCTGGCTCATCTGTCGATTTCTGAGGGAAGCATCGTTGAAGTGAAAAAGCTCGAAGGAAAGTGGGTTGCTGAGGAATTCGTAAAACTTCCATTCGCACCGGAAGCGGTGGCATTAGACAAGGACAACAACTTCATCGTAGCGATCTCCCAGAGCCTCATAAAGGTCACGGAATCTGCACAGGTGGCCGTACTCATATCAAACGGGTTCTGGGCTTATTACCTGTATCCAAACTCTGCCGTAATACAGAAGGACGTATTATATATCGGAATGAGGAAAGGTATCTTCAGGTACAACCTGACCACCGGCAAGCAGGAATGGCTGATGAAGTGATCGTACATTTACTATTCCTTTTCCTGTTTGCTGTGCAAAAGGGATCGGCTTCTTCAGTGCCCGTTATCAACCTATCGGATAATCAATCGCTGCGCTTTTTAGAAAACCCCATCGGATCATTTAAAGCCCAATATGGTAAAAGGAATTTGGTTCTATGAACAGGCTGAAATTCTTTCGCATATTTATTGAAAGAGCTGCTAGCTTTACGGAATCGAGATGATTGGTGCAAGCGATGGTGAAATTGACCACCTTCCGCCGGTTTAAACTGACCCAAATAACTGTTTCTAACGCATAAGCTTATTTCAATCCCTGTTTCTTTCGGAAGCAGGGATTTTTTGTATGCTAGCAGTATCTTAGTGTAGGATTATTTACCTTCTTTAGAAGTATGGATAAAGCTATTCAAAAACAGATGTATATCGTATCGGCATCATGCTGAAAATGCAATAAACCAATGAACATGGCTGTAATTGATGGCGATACTGACATCAGAAATGGTCAGGTTTATGGACCGGAACTATTTTCAGCAGGTGATCTTAAAATTGCCGGGGCGAACAACGTCCTGATTAAGGAGCATTTTTCATCAATA